TCTGAGCAATGTAAAACAGACTTTTTTAAAAGAGTAACGAATGGAGTTTCTTGCTCGTTCTTCTCCACTCGAATCGACATTTTGGAACGAGCGCCTAGCTTCACTGACGGACAGACTGACAGACTATTATATATTTCATATTTGTTGACGTTTCAAAAGTACCAAATTATGGTTTAATTGAAAGAAAAAAAAAAAAACACACTAATTTTACCCAGGTGTTATTTCGACAAGCCACACTTTATTCGAGGAGAACAGGGGGCGCGTCACCGGGTGGGAGCGTCCGATACTCGGATGAAGTTGCGCCTGAAACAAATTATAATTATTATTATTATCTCTTTCAAAAACGTCTCATAATAATGTAGTGTTCGTTTGGGACGAGGGAATGGAGGAAGGGGGAAGCGTCAATGTTAAGTTTTTTGTTTTTGACTATACATCTGTTAAACAGAAACTGTACAAATTATATTTTGGCCCTGAAAAGGGCCTTTTTTCCGAGAATACGAGGTACATCAGTACTGTTTAAAAGTACCGGCGTATGTCCTCGACCACTTGACGTCGAGGCACAGCCTTTTCGTCTTCTCGCGTACTTCTCTTACAGTCGACACGCGCCGCTCTTCCGGCTGCTCATCTGCCAATTCGGCACCTCCGTGAGCAAAGCGGTAAGTTATATCCATCGGTTCAGACATGATTATATCCATCGTCCCCTCGTACGCCAGATTCAATTGCATCTGCATGTCTGCGAATATCAGCTGTAAAGGTCTCTGTCCTGTAAAGGTCCACTGGCGATGGATCGTTTGATGCCTTTTTGTATCTTCTTCTCACTCGAACTCTTCCTCTTGGGCTTCGAAATTGCGCGCAGTGCGGTCTCCGCGTGGCCAGATTTTCGGTTGTCGCCGTAACGTAAGCCATGTCGATTGTGTTGGTGACAATGGTTACTATGATAAAATGACAACCTTTTTGACCCATTTCCTTTGTTTGGCAATTTATTTTTATGTAGCGGGTACTTGCAAGTTTGTTTAAGGTTTGTCGATAAAATTTATCATATATTGCCTCTGACTTGAATTTTTTCAAATGTTTTCAGTGCAATTGTACGTCATTGTACCCAGAACCCTCCATAAATCCGGCATCCAATATCCGCGATAATAGTAATTTTTCTGTGTATTGACGACGAATTTCACCATTTATAACGGGTACTGGAAAACAATACAACTGGCATCAATGCACTTGACTAGCGAGTAGCTCGAGTATGAAGCGACCGGGAGTTGCGTAACGGACTCTAGCGTTCTTACCATACGTGAAAGAAGTAACGAACAGAATCGGAGCGGTCACCCAGTCAGCTGAGACAATTGCTACGCTCACCTAAGGATAAGGATCAGCTGGCTGTGCTCGGAGTGTACATGATACCGTGTGACTGTAGATCAAGTTACATCCGGGAAAGTATACGTAGCGTGAATGAGATATATAAGCATCCGCAGTGACTGAGCATGTTTGCGGTACGAATGCGGCTCACTCAATATGTTTTAACTCGTTGAGTACAGTCATTATAGACACAATTATAGAACAATAGGTTGCGGTCACCGGTGACTGCTTGGTGTTTGACAGTTTAAAAACAGAAATGTTTAGTAAATGTTTACCGTATTTGGGCATTGTTTAGACTTATCAAGTCTCAAAAATTATGATTTTTTTTTTTTGGAAATTCCCACAAAATACACTTTTGCACCAAAATAACCAGAATGTAAATCTTAATCCTTTTTATTTTTTTGTCCTCCTATATTCCACAAGCACTATTTGAGTCTATTTCGCTTTTAAACTGTCAAACACCAAGCGGTCACCGGTGACCGCAACTTATTGTTCTATAATTGTGTCTATAATGACGGTACTCGACGAGTTAATTTGGTGGGTGATCATTATCCGGGTAGCCACTCCCAACAAACTTTAAGGTTGTTTATGTGTTCCTGTCGATTGTTTATTTGAATTTAAGTCTAAATAATTCTTAGTTGATCCAGTATAATATATTCAATAGTTTGTAGACTGCGTCTGATTGCAAGACACGGCAAAACTCTAATATTGGTACCAGTAATAGCTTGTTGGTCGAATTGGTTGTTTATAAACGAGAATTGATTTACATTAACACAAAATCATCACCAACTTTTTTAGATATGAAATGCCATGAGGTTGAATTACTCGATTAATGTAACTACCACCTGGTAAATAACCCTTATTCAGACTGATCAGCTCTCTTCAGCTATATAGCTATACTTTAGGATACTTGCAAGTTAATTCACCTAGAAAGTGAATTCCACTTGCAAGTATACATATTGTTTATACTGTTTCATCACACTAGTATCCATCTAATTAAAAATACTGATAAACTTGACCTATCTTTCATCCCTGAAGACTTAGAGTCCTCCAGTATTCATGACTCAATTCAAATATTTGATACGGTGAGCTCTGGTCAGTTTGGGTATAAAATAACATAACTTGGAATATTAGGCATCTTTTTAGAATAATAATATTTTCTATTTAAATTTAGAATTGTTTAAGATTGGTTGGATCAATGGCATATGTACCAGCAGAATGCAGTCTTGGATTTTGTAAGGCTTGGGCGGTCACGAAACGCTCCTAACGTTCAAAAAACCTCATATACTTACTGGTCATTTATAAGCAACTTTAGGGTTAGTTATGTATTTTTTTAAGAATTGCACAGTTGAACACAGACTCGGGAATTTCTCAATTGCACTTTCACAAGTTTCAGTTTCCTCCTCGCGATACAATATCAACTACAATTAATTCTAGAAGTAGCGGTGTCCTTGTCCAAAACACATTGAAAATCAGCCGTAAAATGCCACCCGTACTTTATAATAAAGTATTGTACGTTATTCAAGGTACTATAATAAATAAAGTACACGGAAATACTTTATTAATTTCATTTCTAAGTCGTAGGTATTTTTAGGTAAACTTATCGATTCGATATCGATATTTATCGATTTATTTTGAATCGATTTAGTAGTAGACAATTTCTAATAAACATGCAATTATTTTAGTATTTCAATGCAATTGTTAAGTAAAGATACTAATTTAATACAAACTGCAAAAAGCAATAAAAAATATATTCTTAAATATAGGTAATACTAAAAAAAAATTATATACCAAAAAAAAGGTTGCAACCTTAGCCATAGCATTCACAAAATCACAATGCGCTGATCGCTTGCTATCAGGTGATCTGTCTGCTCGTTTGCCATCTATTCCATAAAAAAAAACAATGAACACGCAAACTAAACAAAACTATTACAACAAGCAACTTTTAACGATTACTCTTAGAAATTACCTTACTTTATATTCACACCATAAACTTAAACACGATACTTTCTTCATGTCACGTTTTTTCAACCTCTTCACTATTTCTGGAACTTTAGAAATTATTTATGAACATTTTAACTATATAATCATATTTATATACCTCATAAGTTATTTGTATACGAAATTATCGTTGGTGGTTATTTTGTTTTTACCCGACTACGACAAAGCGTTTTAAGTGTGGCAGAGCCATGCTTCGACACGAATGGGCCGGCTCGACCGGAGTGATACCACGGTCTCACAGAAAACCGACGTGAAGCAACGCTTGCGTTGTGTTTCGTCGTGTGAATGAGGTTACCGGAGGCCCAATTACCCTCTTCCCCAGTCTCCCCAATCCCCGAATCCCCCACAATCCTCAAACTACTAATTCCCAAAAGGCCGGTAGGTAACGCACTTGTAACGCCTCTGGTGTTCCAGGTGTCCATGGGCGACGCCGATTTCTTACCATCAGGTGATCCGTCTGCCCGTTTACCGGCCTATCTCATAAAAAAAGCAAAAGGAGGCATTACATTTTTTTTTTTTTTATATTTGATGGGGCGACGTTTGACCACTATCTCGCCTGGTGGTAAGCGATGATGCGGTCTACGATGTAGCACGTCGTCCCATAAGCAACCTATTCACTCGGGCCTTGAAGACTCCCAGGTTGTACCCTTCAGGAAATACAGACTCTGGCAAAGAATTCCACTCTTTAGCAGTACGCACAAGGAAGCTTGAAGCGAAGCGCTTCGTGCGTGTGGGCGGAACATTTACCATGAATCGGTGACGCTTCGACGATTGTCTTGTGGTACGATGATGGAAAGGACTAGGGGGAATCAAGTTGTGCGTTTCCCTCGCACACTCACCGAAATGTATCCGGTAGAAAACCGAAAGGCTTGCAACCTTACGCCTGTGCTCGAGGCTTTGAAGTCGAGCCCTCACATGCGCATCATCGTCGATGAGCCTCTTGGCACGCCTCTCAATGTGCTCTAACGCGTCCAGCTGATATTTTGCCGAGCCGTCCCAAAGATGAGAGCAGTACTCCATCCTCCACATTAATCTTAATCGATACTTATGATTATTTACTATTTATCCCAAAAACACGCTTATTTCTATGTAGGTCCCTAATCTATGTAGGTACTTATGTCCTTTATTTCTAATGTCGACCGTACTCCGGCCCCGTTTAAGCTATTTTGCGCATGTGAGTTTTTGGCTTTACAAATAATTAATGTTTGGTCTGCTTGTAAAGTCTGTGCGTAAAATTCACAATAAACGTCTTAAACAAAATAACAACCGAGCTTTTACACTCGTTTAAGGGTTACGTGAGTCTCAGTAGCTCCTACCTATTAAGAAACGTTTTTATTTTTAAATAATCTACTAAATTGGAAGTATCTACATCTAAAAGCAACATCCTGACAAAAACGGTTGGTTACCCTTCTTAGAAAGCTATACTTAGCTTTCGACGAATAAGGTAGAATGAATAGTTAAAGTTTGTTTCACAAGTGGGTTCTCAAAGTTTATCTTTCATGATTTTATTGTTCTTAATTGTTCAATCTTCCATGTTCACCTTTCACTTCATGGGCTCGATTTCCCAAATCGAATGACATACATGACAAGATATCATAGACAAGAATGTTTGTTATGTATGCGTTATGTCATTCCATTTCTTTACTGTCAAATTTGACAACGATACGATTGCGACTTCGCATGGACTTCGCGTTGTGGTTCATTCGGTGTTAAAATTATTTATCGCATCCTAATGTTGAATAAATCTGTTTAATTAAAGCTGGCCTTCTGAAAGTAGATATGGCTAATCATTATGAAGTGCCCAATTGGTAAGTGATCCCATGGAAATCCTGGTTGTGAGACATATTATTCACTTATAGTACGCCGGTCATAAATTTTATCTTTCTTATAGGGCTGGAAAACCACCGACTGGACTACACTTGGATGTATTAAAAGGGGATAAATTGATACAAAAACTGATGATTGATGAGAAGAAGTGTTATTTGTTTGGTAGAAACCCACAGATGAACGATTTTTGTATTGACCATGCCAGTTGTTCGAGGGTGCATGCTGCGTTTGTTTACCACAAACACTTGAACAGAGCATTCTTAGTTGACTTAGGAAGCAGTAAGTTAATAAAGCATTTACTTTATTTTATTACGCGATCTAAGACAATTGTTCATGACCCTGAGACGCTCCGGACTTCAGTGTTCGGGTGTTTTCATGGTTGTATCTACTGTAGTCTGTACTGACTTACCCCTGTACGTTGTAGCTATTAGATGTTTTCCCAGAGGTATAATTTGAATTCTTATTTGAAATATAGATACACCATACAAATCCTTATTGAGAGCTAGATTTCTGTTTGATATGAAACCTTTTTAATGAATCTCAAGTCCTTACCTATGAATCCTATGATATCATTATTCAAAGGAATGGTTCCACTAACAGCCGTGTCCGCTCTGCTTGGAATGTATTGATGGTAGTGTGATGTTTTATAGCCTCCTTCGTTAAATGGATCATCCATGGACACAGAAAAATTATTTCACTCAAACCACTAGTTCCGGAAAATAATATGTTGAAACCAACTCTTGAGCGTTATATAACAGTATAAGATTTGTTTGTGTAAATCTAAATATTGTATAATGATATTGTTTTAGCTCATGGGACATTTATTGGACAAATGCGCTTGGAACCAAACAAGCCAACGCAGCTGCCTATAGATTCTAATTTCCACTTTGGGGCTTCCACAAGAAATTACATAATAAGGTAATGTACGGACACACCTTATTTTTCTGTGTATCTGATTGTTTTTAATATGACAATATTATTATGTTAAAAGTAATTTCAAAAGTGTTGTATAATGGGCTGCAAGTAAGCAGCCTACATTTATTAATCTATACATGATAAATCATAGGAAAGTAATATACAATAACTATTTTTTTAAAGAATATTTAAGGACTACTTACAGTCAAAATCGAAGCTAAAATATGGATTTCATAATTTTTATCTGTGTGTCTGTCTGTATGTATGGGTTAAATGCTAAAAGTACTGAATGGATTTACTTAAAATTTTGTATGAATATTACTATCAGGTTGGGTCAACATATAGTCTACATTATCACACTATCACCACTGCTACGGGGGAGGACCTGTGAATCACTAATTCATGTAGATGAAGCCGCAGACAGCTAGTTTATAATAAAAAATATTCCAAACTCAAGTCATTATTGCTTTTACAATATATATAAATAAAATAGGTTTCTTTCATGATGGTGGAGTTGTTAATCTATATTATAAAAATGATTAGCTAAATATGTTGCTCAGTACTTATCTTGAGAACAACTGAGCATTTGGCTAAAACGTTTTTTTCTTTGGTTTAGTACTGTTAGATTAAAGTTCTCATGAAAGAAATTTTAATACAGATGTTCTAAGGTATAACAGGGTTACTTAGCTCATATTAAATCTTGTTTGATACCATATATCTTGTGAAGTTGGAGTGTGGATTCGGATATCATTATGTGCTGATACTTATGTCGGCCAATGGGTTAATCCCTAAAAACCTCGAAATTCATCTTAGGAGACTGGCGTTAGGTGGATGGATCAATGCCCTGATACAGAAGGCAGTTCTCCTTGAAACTGCACATATCGTGAGCTTTCTGTCTCTGGAGCCCTAAACACCGGTAGCTTGGATCATGATCCCGCTACTGGTTGGCTCCTATTTTATATTTTTAAATATTATTTTTTATTTTGTAAGTAGTATTTAGAAATGTATTTTTAGAGAATTTTAAATAAATTAATGTAAACTAAATAATAGTGTTGTGTCTACAGAGAACGACCGACGGGCAACTCTCGAGGTATAATGGAGGACTTGCCCAACACAGAACAAGAAGGTGCGTTACTGGGTCTGCCTGAAACACAAACTGAATTAGACGTGAGTATTTTATAATATTACTAGCGATCCACCCCGGCGTCGCACGGGTGCAATATGTATGTATTGTGCATATAAACCTACCTTAAAAATCACTCTGTTTATTAAAAAAACCGCATCAAAATCAGTTGCGTAGTTTTAAAGGTCTAAGCATACATAGGGACAGACAGACGGCGGATAGAGACTTTGTTTTATACTATGTAATGATAATCATTGCCTATAAGATTAGCAAGTTGGAGTGCCAGTGGGCCAGTCACATTTAGTGAATAGTTGAAGAACATAGGTGTAAACGACAGCACGGTTGGTGCGGTGGCTGGGCAACAGGCTGCCTCGTAATGTGTCACGGTTTCGATACCCACACGGAACAACTCTTTGTGTGATCCACAAACTGTTGTTTCGGGTCTGCGTGTCATGTGTATGTGATCTTGTATGTTTCCAAACGCACCCATGACACAGGAGAAAATCCCTGTGTGGGGCAACGTTTTTACAGTAAAACCAAACATGTTCTGGAGCGAAACCACAGCAGCTACAGCTAGGTGTAGTGACGATGACGATATCCTCCATGTATCTGACAGTGTTTAAATAAGAAGAGCTGAATCTTCAACTCTGTGGCGTGCCACCACAGAAACCTATGTCCAGCAGTGGACGAACACGGGCTGATGATGATAATGATTTCGTCATAAAATTTAAACTGTGATAAAATAAACTATCTCTTAGAAGGAACATATTCACAGAATATTTTTATATAAATTAACATTATAGAGAGCCAAATTAATTAACACATGCCATTGTGTTCTGATGTACACTAGAGAGCAAAGAACGGGGCCACTAGTGTATATTTTTCTTTTTAATTACTTAATAAATATTTCTGATACAACTATTTTATTAATTGGTAACATGTAACATGTGTCGTATGAAAGCAAATTGTTTTTTTTTTATTTATAGAGGGTTCGATATTATGAAAGAATGCTTGTAACTACCGGGCGAGACCCCTCGCCCGGTAACGAGGCTCACTCAGCCAACGAGGCAGTCTCTGACACATTGTACAGAAGAGGCTGCGGTACAATGTGTCAGAGATTTGTTTCCTGTACGGCACACATATATATGTATAGCTAAGAAATTATGTTTTAATTTCAGAATCTAACAGAATTTAACACAGCACATAACCGAAGAATATCCATGTTGGGTATATCTACTGATGATGGCAGTGATGTTATGAAGGTGAGCGTTAAAGAGTTTTAATTCATACTTTATCATATGTAATTATCGTATCTAGCTAACCCATTTCTTCCCGGGAAGAAACGCCCGGGTGTCATCACTGCGAGGACCGCCCTGAGGACACGGTGGAACACACTGTAGCGGAATGCCCTGCGTGGGCTGAGCACCGCCGTGTCCTCAGGGAAGTGATCGGCGATGGCGACCTCTCGCGTCCGGGCCTAGTGCAGGCCATGATGCGGAGCGAGGGGGATTGGGATGCCGTCTCCTCCTTTTGCGAAGCAGTCATGCTAGCTAAGGAGGAGGCGGGACGCGTGAGGCAGCGAAGCGCTGCCTCCTCGCAACCCAGCCATCGCGAAGGACACACCGGGCGTCGGGGATCGCGGGACGATCTCCGGCCACCGTAAGCGCGGGCCTGCGGACGGCGAGCATGGGTCCTCCCAGAAACAGACCCGAGCGTACGGCGCGTCGCGTTCCGCGCGCGCCTCAAAGAGCCAGCCGCCTCACCCAGGCGGGAGCAGTCATTCGATGATTTTCCCCGCTAAAAAAAAAAAAAACCATTTCTTCCCAAGCGGTCACCGGTGACCGCTCTCCACTAACTACATTTATAGACCTTATTTCCGACGTTTAGAGACTACTTTTGTATGAACAAATTTAGGGGATAATATTTCAACAGGCTAATATTATAAATGCGTATGTATTTTTGTTACTCAATCACATCGAAACGGGTGAAGTGATTGGGGTGACATTGTGAACAGGGATAGATTATGTTCTGTAATAACATATACTTAAGCTCTTTATCTCACGGGAACGCGGGTAGAAGGTAGTTGTTTAAATAATAACTGTCCTTTTTAAAACTGGATCAAAAAGATCTAATTAAATAGCGTAGATGCCTAATTTTTATTTTAATGTTCGTGTGGTAGATTATTTTAAACCATTAGGCACGTATTTTTTATTTCCTCTCGATTTGAAGAGATTTGAGATTTCTCTTTCTTTTGAGAAGTCTCGCGTGACGTCACTTCTATGTACATTTTATACGTAGAAATGACTTTTTAGCCCCCACTCCTAAACTTTGATTCGTTTTATCTAAGTATTGTTTTATTATACAACAAAATGAAAGGTATACGTGTCTAATATTTTTTTACCTAACTTACCGACTAATTTGATTTTTAATTTTCATACACTGTCATCATCCTTATTATAATCTCTTTCAGCCTCCAACTGGCACAAAGAGATCAGCATCAATGCCGGGTGGTATAGCCAAGAAACAAAAACGGAATGTCTCCTTCAATGAGGAGGTGGACATCATCAACCCAGAGGACATTGACCCCACTATCGGCCGGTTCAGGAACTTGGTCAAGTCTACTATAGTGCCAAACCCTAATAGTGCTCCTAGGAAGTTGAAGCTACAAAGCTCTGATGACAGTAAGTTGAAACCTTTTTCTATTGCTTGGTATGTACTATAAATATGGTTTAATAGGAATTAACAGGTCTATTGGTGGTGCAAGTCGTCGAAATGCTATCTGTTTTGCCAATGTGAACATTTATAGAATAGAATCAGGGGCTATTTTGCGGAAATTCATGTTTCATTACCGCGGCTCGAAGATCTAGTATTGGAGCCGTGGGAGCCGCCGAGTCAACAACTGAGGATGCTCCGTGGAGGAGCGAAACATATTATTATGTCGAAATCTGCGGGCGGGAGGGCGATGCTGCATACTGCATGCCGCAAATTAATTCCTTCAGCGGAATATAAACTAAATATTTTCTCAGTTGTTAGTGAATGTTAAGATTTATAAAGGTTTTTTTTATGATAATGTATGTATTGCAGATCAACATCACCACTCACTGAGGCTGCAGGAGATATCAAGAGGTAACACCTTGTACTCCGACCTGCCTGCACCCAGCTCACACTTAAGTCTTATTGGAGCTAGGTAAGTGAACAATACATATATGTAGTATATTACATGCGATATCGTCATCGACAGCCCACTGCTGAGCAAGGGCCTGTTCTCCCACGAAGAAGGTTTGAGCATTAATCACCACGCTTGCTAAATATGTGACGTCACAATACAGAATCTCATATAAAATTCATAGAAAAGTGTCGTTTTTGACAGTTCGAAAAAAGTATTGAATTTGACTAGTTGGTAAATACCCTATGAATAATATGGGCCTAATAATTGTAAATGTTACTTAAAAATAAACTTAATAATTTCCTTGCAGACTGGGCCTGTCGCTACCGAATCCGGCGCCTGATGTGGAACTCGAAGGTCCAGAGCCACACCTCAACATACATCCACCTCTACCACATACAGGTAACTTAGTATTTATAATTATATTCACGTTAATTTGCTTTGAAATACTACTGCACTGCAGGGTATAGCAGGAAAGAGAAAAAGTCCGTACTTCCTGCAATGACCTTCTAATATTTTATTATTATTTCTGAACTCTGACTCGTTGACCGAATGGTTGCAAGTGCGACTGCAAGGGGTCTCGGGTTCGATTCGTGCGTCGGGCAAAGTATTACTGGGTTTTTAAAAAATCTCAGTAGCAGCACGGAGTCTGAAATTGTGCCCGGTATATGGCAATGGGCTCACCTCCTATTACAAGGGACTCATAGCGAAAAGTGGGTGTTACATAGTACAGTGGCATTAAGTGCCGTAATGTGCACCTCTGCCTAACCCTTCAGGGATAAAAGGCGTGATGTTATATTATTTCTGAACTAAACAATTCTGATTAGCAATTAATCTTGTTGATTGAGTAGTCGCAAGCGTCACTGCCATAAAAGCTTCAATTCCTCGGCTTCGAGCAGTAGATGGAGTTTTATGGAGTTTTTTCGGTTTTTATCCTGAAAAAAAAAATAACAATTTAACGCAATTGCGCAATTCAATTAAAAACTGAAAAACAAATATGTAATGAAATCCCTTTTCATCATTTTTAGCTCCAGAAGAAGCAGGTCCATCAAGCGAGCCTCGCAAGAAGAAGTATGCCAAAGAAGCATGGCCGGGTCGGAAACCTGGTCTCATACCAGGAGTATGAGACTTACACTAAGCGTCTAATCACACTGGTGGTCACATTTGAATAAAGGTATTTTAAACTGTCAAACTCCGCGAGGACACTGGTGACCGCAACCTATTGTTCTTTAATTGTGTCTATAATGACGGTACTTAAGTTAAAAGCCATTATGCGGCACGAGTTTCCATATAAAATTTTCATATCTAAAATCAACGACACTGCTAAACCAAATTAAATTAAACTTGGTAAGTACTCATACGCTGGTTAAATACATACTTAATAGAGAATGTTACAGTGACATACCCAAAATTTGTTCGTACAAAAATAGTCTCTAAGCTTCGCAAATAAGGTCTATAAAGAAGTAAACCGGTGATCGCTTCGGGATTGAGCAGATAAGAAAGTACCAACGCATTTCTATCTTTAATTAGCTTAATTAATGTTGACTATTACATACCTACTACCTTTGACTATGTTTAAAAAAAAATACAATAAGTATACGGGACGTTTTATTATGACGATGACGTCACAGTACAACGTTAATTTTGTATGAAAAGTGCAAGTCATCAAAACTTTACTTAGACGCCTATGATTGGGCCCGTTTTGATTGTACGACAAACCTAAGTATACAGCGCCTTTAGCCAAACGCCACTTTAGCGCTTGCCTACAGAGAGAGTAGAAAACTAAATGCATGAGTATGACACTGACAAGTGTCAAAATCTACGTCAAATTCATATAATTTGGTTTTCTATTCTACATGTAGACAAGCGCTAAATGGCATTTGGCTACAGCTGCAGATCAATTCGTAACGTAATGAGCTTCATAGTTACACAATATTTAAAAAAAAAACGTGAACATTCTCCATTAAGAACTTTTTGGAAAACTGCGTGTAGCTCACTTACAGCGGGTACGCAGTTTTGAAACGCTCGCTTTCCTAACACGAGCTGGAGTATATAGCCTTTGTATTAACAACACGCGTTTGCTAAACACACGCTTAAAAAAGCCTTTTGTAATATTATATCAATTATAAAAGAATGTTTCGAAAAGTTGGTGATGTCGTTGATTTTTTACTTGAAAGTTTGCAATACTTATGCTGAGGGCTTAGTACCAGTTTAATTAATGTTTAAAGTATTCGAAACGAGTACGCGTTCGACGCTCTGATTGGCCGGCGCCAATGAACCAACCAATCAGAGCGCCGAACGTAAAAAAACTCTTACTAAGGCCTGCACAAAATTCCGACAAAAATTTGAAACCACGTGTATGCAAGAATTTTTTTAACTCCATTTCAATTTTTTTACAATCTGTCTTTCAGTCTGTCTTCCTAATAAGCTATTGTACAGGATTCCTAAATAATCTTTACATAAATTAATTATTTTACGACTTATGAAAGTTGACAAGATAACTCGACTAATTTCGAGCTCTACTAGGGGCTTATGGGTCATCTGTGGAATTGCGTGAATACATCGTCAAATATTTACAGCCGTAAAACATAATTAATTTAATAGTTATAATATTATCATCTCATTGTTTTATCTATGATATTTCGTTATATGTCATTTAAGCACCACCAGTGAGATTTGACACTTGTTACGTTCATTTATAGTGACGTAAGCTATTATAGTGATTTCTATTGTTTGATAGATAATCAATGTGCAAAATGTAGTAGAAAGATATATGCCCAAATGTTCAGTCGCTCAACTTTAAGTCGCACTTAAGTATAGTTCTGTCGCTACAAATTCTTTGTAAAATAACAGAGATGGCACGATATTTAAGTACAATTAAAAATTGAGTAATTTTAGTATTCGGGTGATAGTCACATAGAACGAGGTTCCTCATTTTTTCCAGTTTTATTTATATATTTCATATAAACGGTCCCTCAACATTACAACAAATTAATATTCCAGTTTTTATTTTAATAATATTATTATGCCCATAACTTTCTATTACAATTTGCATAAAAGTACAGTCAACGCCAAAAACATGTCGATGGTTTGGAGCAGGGCTGTCAAAACTAAGGCCCGCTTGTTGTCATGTGGCCCGCGACACATTTTAATCTCAACATCTTTAAGTGTGGGGAGAGCCATGCTTCGGCACGAATGGGCCGGCTCGATCGGAGTGATACTACGGCCTCACAGAAAACCGACGTGAAGCAACGCTTGCGTTGTGTTTCGTCGTGTGAGTGAGGTTACCGGAGGCCCAAATATCCTCCTCTTCCCCAATCTCCCCAATCCCTGAATACCCAACGATTCTTAAACTCCTAATCCCCAAAAGGCCGGTAACGCACTTGTAACGCCTCTGGTATTCCATGGGCGACGCCGATTGCTTACCATCAGATGATCCTTCTGCTCGTTTACCGGCTAATGCTATAAAAAAAAATCTTATGTGAAAAACGTCATTATACAACTGAAAATATTTTTCTGGCCTTCCCGCTTTTGTAAGAAATTTAATTAACTCGCGAGAGTTTATAGTTTGGACAGCCCTGGTTTAGAGAATGCTAAAATAATTGTTAACACGATTGCTGATGCGTGTTAATATAAAGTAATTAGTAAAATATATAGAAAAATATATTTAGCGCAATGATGATGGTGTCAATTAAACTTGTTATTAGAAGGAACTGAAATCCAATAGTTCGCTAGTACAAAATTAGTTAACGTAATGTTAGACAAGAGTCTACTTTTTATCTGAATAGTGAATGAAGTTGAATATTTTTACAAGTTTCGGTAGTATGTCGAAATCTAAATAGTTGCCTAGTACGTTTTTCTTGCGAGTATGGAAAATCATTAAATGACTCCTCCCGCCCTGGGTGAGGCGTGAGGGAGTGACAAACACTTACTGACTGACAACCACCACGTTCCAATGGGGGCTACTGTTTTTTTTTTTTGGTCAACAAAAGGTGCAAATGTAACAAGAGTGTTGGTCCAATCACTGCAGCTGTCAAATATTGAATGTCCAATGTTGTGACACTAGCTCATTGGCCCCTATTGGTCGAAAAATAAAAGAAGCACACTAGCGCCATCTAGTAAGCATACGTACAGTAGCCCCTATTTATTTTTACCCTATAGACTTTAGACTAGTTTTAAAAATCATTCCTTTCTAGTATTTCGGATTGCCGTCCCATTATCTATTGGTAGTAGAAGTGAAACAGTATAATGATCTCATTCGACTGGCTTTACACTAATCTGATGGGATTTTTTTAAGTGGAATACCAATGATTTCTTTCGCCTGGGTGAGGCGGGAGGGATTGTCAGACTCTTGTTGACTAAAAACCACCCCATTTCTACTCCTACATGTATTGGATCATTCTCCTCCCCCAATCAATACAGAGATTTTGTGTTTCTCTAGACATGATAGATATTAACGCTGTTGTGTTGTCCACTACATTTTAAGGTGTTATAAATAAAAAATGTAGTTAAATAAATGACATTACTATAGCTTATTGCTCAAATGACTGTTTTTAAGTCGGTCGGTTGTAGATGCTTATACAATATTCTACTTTGTTGCTTAGGTAATAAAGTGGTTTATGCCATGTCATTAAGATGCTTTTGGTCTTCCTATTTTGATTATAAAATTATAATGTTCTATGCACCGTCCATCTAAATCTATGAGCGCTTTTGTATATCCGCGCTATACCATCTAATAAAGAAATTAAGCATAATTAATTAATTATGTAATGCAATCGTTGGCTTCGGCAATCATGTGCTAAAATGACTATAAATGTATAGCTTCCTAAATGTATTAGATTTTGTACATTTTTATAAACATCAATTAATGTTATACCAAAATTAGCATCGAAATTGGTTGTTAAAAATGTAGTAAGTGCGACTGCCGTGCAAGGGGGCTCGTGTCCGGGGTCGAGCAAAGTATTGCTGGTTCTTTTTTTTAAATCTCAGTAGTGGCACGGTGTCTGGAATTGTGCCTGCTATATGGCAATAGGCTCACCCCCTGTTACATGGGATTCATAACATAAATAGTGAAAAGTAGGTGCTATATTGTACAGTGGCATTAAGTGCCCCTGTGAACGTATAACATTTCTTGAGTATGTAGTATGACTATATCGCTCTAGTGACAATATCGCTCTCTTTCGAAGACGATGACGTCATATTATGTTATGTTGGATATCTTTGTTCTGTTATTTTGACAGGTAACTAGTAGATTGAAATAGTAATTAGTTGATTTTAATTGTTATTTTGTACAGTACTTGGTTATCATTATAGCCCTTGATTGGATTAAGCATTCTTTTTAAATCTGTTTATCAAAGGAAAGCTATGATTAGATAAACAAATTGTAAATGAATCTTTACTTAATGTTATCAATACGAAAGCGAGTTTTGAGATTGCCGTTTAAGGCCTAAACTGCTTAGCCAAATTTGATGAATCCTGGTTCTGAGATAGATGGCTAGTGACTAAGAAAGTCACGATTAAATGTTGAACTTATTTATTACTAACAAATGGCATTTATGTGTCGTCATAATTTTGGCGTTGACTGTACTTTGTTTGTACCTCATTCATACATAGTAATCACATTGTTTTACTCCTAAAGTACATTGTATGTAATGTATTCATTAGTTTTAATTACTTTTAAGAAAATTGTGAACGATGGATGAAATATAAGAGTAAATATTATGTTTCGTTTTATTTGATACTTTCTAATACAAGCTGGCATTATCAATTGCCCATTCCGTGCCTCGGAAATCATGGTAAGCTATCGGTCCCGCTTGACACAAACATCAATAATTAGTTAGTTGGAAATCTCTAAATTCTTCAGTCGCAGTTAACAATATCTCCTACAAAATACTACCTTCAAGAAAAGAGCATATTACTTTTTAAAATGACTTAAAGGCACGCAGAAAATCAAAACCTAATAAAGATGATTATCACAATAGTCATCAGTACTGCCTGTGATTGTGATCGATAACACGGGCGGTGACAGGTCGCTTCGCAGTTTCGTGCAACATTATCATATTGAATTTATAGATGTTAGAATATTCCCACCATTTATTCAACCCTCGAAATCGATTCACCCCGTTTACGTATTGTCCTTTCCAGACTGTAAAGTTAACAATACTTATTCCCGAGATTCTAGAACGGTATTTTATTTGAATGGGAAATATTTTTTTAAATTCTTGGATGGTAAAAAAATGCATTGTCTCTGGGATACTGTTCAAATGTCAATGTCAAACTGTCAAACTAACGACTGTCATTGTCAATGTCAAACCCATTGCGAATGTTGAGGCTTTGCTGGCGATTTTGTCGACAGACGCATTTTTATTGACAAGCTGTAAACACAGCGTATTTCCTTGAATTTTTATTGATTATTGCAGGTTTATAGCATTTTAATGTGAAAAGTGTGTTAATTAGTTCAGTGAAATGGTTTCTAGCGAGGAAGAACCGGAGGTGAAACCGAATGACCCGCTAACATGGGACGTCGATATGGAAATTCAGTTGTTTTATGCCATGGCTAACCACAAGCCGGTCGGCATAAACAAACATTTTCACATGGCATGTATTTGGGAAAAGCTCTCAAATTCCATAACTAAAGAGATATCAACGCAAGATATTTGGAAGCATTTAGAAAGTCTGTATGATTTAAATTTATTGGAAGATACTGAGCCAATACCATTTCCGAATCATGAAATACCGTTTAGTTTACCAGAGACCGAATTTGGATCACTAATGAAACAGAAATGTAAGGAGGCTATATTAGCGGACGATAGTGAAGGTAGTTTATGGTCTATCTTGTTCTATATTTAAAAAAGCTTTGCCACTAAAATTTTTGGTAACTTAGTACCTTGATTCTAGTGGTGTATATTTTAAGCCTATAATGCATTGCAATGTTGAAATTTAGATGGGAGGAGCCCTTCACCTAAGCCTTCGACACCTAGAAGCAGTTCTAGGGGCACTGCGTCTAAAGATAGTACACCCAAAGGTAGAAACAGTCCATTATCAATTTGTAATTTTTTGGTTTGTGGTGTTTGTAGTTAGTGGTGTGTAGCAAGGAGGTTCATTACATTTGTTCTTGTTTGGGTATTTTTTTATTATAAGTTTGTTTTTTTTAATTTTTCTTTCTAATGCCTTTCCGAGGTCTATCAATCCTCTTCTATTAATATTAATTTTGTGTCTTGACATTTTTCTTTGTCATCACCATTATCATTCTTTTCACCATCTTATAGTAGTCCTTATTTTGACATAGCCTGAGCAATATTATGATAATTAGAAATACAATATGTTTAAAAAAAATGGTGTGACAAAAATATCTAAAAATATGTATTTAACATGTTAGTTACTTGACCAGGCAGCCGTAAGGACAGTGTGAGCGCATTGGCCACTAAAACCCGCAAAGAGAGTGGCAGTTCCCATGCCTCGACTGATACACCCAGCATCAAGTCGGAAAAAGATTATGGTAAGAAATTAATGTTAAACTTAATATTAGTATTTTTCTATGGCATAAGCCGATAATCGAAGAGACGATCACCTGATGGTAAGCAATCGGCATCACCCATGGACATCTGAAACACTAAGGTGTTACAAATGCGTTACCGGCCGTGGTATCATTCCGGTCCAGCTGACCCATTTGAGCCACTCTCCCACACTTACAACTAGAATTAAACTTTAAACTTAGTCTCTAATAGGTGGATGTAAGATTCGTTTTTCATTGCTTACTATCTCGTCATCACTATGATATACAGGAGCTGAAAAAAGGCATTTTAGTTTCTGGTACTTTCAAGGTCTCAGCTCTCATTCCACAGATCATTCTTTCTACAACATAAACGTAATATCAGTCCGCAAAAATAAAAAAAAAAATATTAGTGTCTCTATGGCTATCCACATTCTATCAACTTCCATTCTGAATTTAACCCGTTGAAAATTGTTGAAAATCATCCCCTAAATTTATCCATACAAAAGTAGTCACAAAAAAGGAAATAAGGTCTATAATGTAGTTAGTGGACTGGAGAGTGGTGACCGGTGACTGCTTGGGGATGTACGGGTTAAATAATCCCATAACTAAAAGCTAAGTGATTCTGTAAGACCCTATAGTCTAGCGTTGACAAATCTTATATTATACCAATGTTGTTAATTTTTTTTCTACAGATCGCAGGAGAGATTCTCGTGACTCAAACGCGTCAGGCCCGCGGGACAGTTCGAGCAGTAGAAAGTCAACATCGCAAAGAGAAAAAGTTCCAAAGACCAAAGTTAGCTCAGTGGCAGGTTAGATAACATTATTTTCATTTAATATTTTTTTATTACTGCCTCATTGGCGAAGCAATGGGCTATGATTCCCAACTCAAAACACTTTGTGCGCGGCATTAGGCTTACTTCTAATAAGGAGTCATAACAACTGATGAAAAGTGGTAATTCTTGTTTTACTGTTTATGTTGATCTCTGTCTGCCTTCCTGATATTCACTAGAAGAATGTTAGATTATCTACAGATTCGATATTAATAAGCTATTTCACCAACAGCATGGGACTCTCCACTAATAGACGAAGATGTCGGATCGCGACGTGGACGCAGAAGGGCTAACACCTCAACTCCTCCTGCAACGACACCAGCCAAGCGCAGGCGCACCTGACAAACACATCCAAATACATACCGCCATTTCTTCTGACATACACACCCACGCACCTGGTGGGAACATAGACCCCATACAGGGCGAGCAAGACGACCCCATGCCGTTGATGTATTCTTCTCCTAAATGGTGGTTTAAATAAATGGTCATAAATGTGTAACGGACATTTACAATTTTGCATTTGAACTTTGAACTGTGAACTTTTTGGTGATTCTAATGACGGATGCTGATTTTAGATTACTGTTTGTGTAATCTCTGATAGATTTAAGACAAATAAACATTTCTACTGAATAGAATGGAGTGGTTTTATTATTCGAGAATAAAAATACAATAAGTAGATTCAAATTATAATAATAATAAAAAAAAACGTTGGTAAGAAGATGGGATACTCTAGACAAAAACGTACTTTGTTTCTCTTTTTTTTATGAGATAAGCCGGTGAACCGGCATTCGGATCACCTGATGATAAGCAATCGGCGGCGCCCATGGACACCCGAAACACCAGAGACGTTACAAGTGCGTTACCGCTCTTTTGGGGAGACTGGGGAAGGGTGTAATTGGGCCTCCGGTAACCTCACTCACACGATGAAACACAACGCAAGCGTTGTTTCACGTCTGTTTTCTGTGAGGCCGTGGTATCACTTTGGTCGAGCCGGCTCATGCCTCATTCGTGCCGAAGCATGGCTCTCCTACACGTTGTTTGCTTAACTCGTTGAGAACCGTCATTAAGAACAATGGATTGCGGTCACCGGTGTCCTCGTGGTGTTTGACTACTGTTTTATGCAGACAGTTTAAAGACACCATAAAAAACAAGTGAATTTAAGAACTTACCTTCTTTATTTGAAATCGGCTAAAAGTGCAATCATGTAATCCCATCCTCCTAAAAAGACTCAGAACTAAACTAAAAAAGCTATCTAAGCAGTGCAGTGGCTGACAGGTGACATACCAAACCACATTCAAAATTCAAATTGTCATTCTCCCATTGACCTTTGTAGTTCGTGTATTTGTTATCAATTCGTCGTAAATCACGCTAAAGTTCTTTGTAGTAAGAATCGCATTATAACTGAAAATGTTTTAAAATATCTATAGGTTATTATATTGCGAATGTTTTGAAACCGTCAATATGGCATTACCAAGAGCGCAACCCGCAGAAGTTCTTCGTTCATGGCAAAAAGATGATCTGTACGAAAAACAACTTGCCGAATCTTTATCAAGATTGATGTCAGCAAGAAATGTATCTAAGGCGATACCACTGTCTTCCTTAATATATAGATCACTTACTACACTACAGGACCTTCAAACTCTTGGAGAAGAATACTCGGGTATCGTGCAAGTTGATGAAACTTATAATAAGTTACCATCACATTGGAGTCGACTACTAAGCATTTTACTGTCAATATTTGGCGAAAATATCACTAGAGTGATCCTCCAAAGCGCAGAAAAGCGTGTTCAACAAGATCCGTCGCTAACTGTAGAAGCACAGAACGTATTTTTGATTACATTCAAAACTTTGAGCAGTATATTACCTCAGATTCAGAATATTCATCGCGGGATTGCGTATATCAGTGGTGGACCTTTACAGATAGGAAAGACTGTGACTGGCATAGACTATGTGCATGTTAGACCTGCTGCGGCTGCTTACTACGCTCATTTAAGACTCCTTGGTGTCGTTACTCTGTTGCATGCATTAGTTTCTTGTGGCCAGAGTTTGTACAGAGCTAAAGCCCATATGGATCAAATGAGAGAAGTACCAAATGAAGTAGACAGTAGCAAGTCATGTGTGGCCTGCTTGGAAGAAATCATTCAGCCTTGTGTGTTACCCTGTGGACATATATTTTGTTTACAATGCTCTTATGGGGCACTGGAAACCTGCGCATTATGTCGCACACCCTTCACTAAGAACTGTGTAGTTCCATTAATGAATTATTTTCCTGAGAGTTCATGAGACTGGCTATTATTTTCATTTAGGAGTAAATGAATATAAAAGCAATGCATTAAGATTTTTTTCTGTACATTATATTTCAATCTGTTCACTGTTTTTTTTTTATTTATGTTGCCAGAATTGGTGTCAAAGCCAATATTTAATGTAGTTTCCTAATTAGTTGTAATTAGAATATTTGCCAAAGAATTGTAAAGGTTTCTTTAATTCAGAGTTATAATCTTAAAACATATTTTTATTAACCTCTTGTATATTAATCTTATACCTGTGATAATGACTTTTTAAGTATAGTAATTAGTAAGTGTCAATGGTGATGGAAAGGGCTGCGGGCAGACATAAAATAATTAAACAATTCCCAATTAAATAAAATCTTTTATTACATAATACAATAATGATTAATAAAATTAAGATAACAATTTCAGCAAAGCAGACACTGGATGAAATAATTTTTAAAATTATATACAATTCCTATACTTTGTGCTAACAAGCTCATTCAAGTAAAATTATAGAGCATAGGAAAGATTACACTTATGCACAGACTACAAAAAAGATCAAAGCTCATTTTATCATCTAAGAAGTTTTTATGGCATACTACTATGATCTATTCGTCAAATTAAACCACTAGCAACACTATTAGAAAGCTAAGCACAAAAAAATTACAATTAGGTACAAGTAGTTACAACAATATTACAAGTACAGATACCAGTCTAAAAAGCTACCGGACACTCAAAATTCTTTAAACATCTTTCAACCATATACTACTGAAATTACATTGAAAATCCATTAACCAGTGGTTTGCCTAATCATAGATCTAAATAAGACAACAATGAACAAGTTTTTTTATTGTACCTCATAGGATGTTTCTAGAGAGAGGTAGAAAGCATTTTGAGGTCTGTTATCAGCTGGCATCTGTACTTATATCAAAAAATTCCATTTATTTTTAATCATTACAATACAAAATGTTTGTGAATTTAACACCATCACAGCAAACATGGTCAAAGCTTATACTCTTTATCTACTAAAGAGGTCTAATTAGCTGTTCTCCTTACTATGGTTACCACTTATATTCATAATTAGATTATTATACAACTCCCAATTATTGTTTAATTCAGAGTCAACCTGTTTTCATTTGCAAAATCTGTAATTTGGAATTCTTATCAATTTAATCGCCTTCATTTCATATTATCTACCGTATTTACTGAACACCAAAATAATATTTAATTTAGAGTTTTAAATACCTATTATTTCTCATTATGTATTTTAAGATTTTAGAGCATTTGAACACTATAGTATGTTACAATTATAATCCATCAGTACTTGTCCATCAAAATATGAAAATATGTGCTAATTCACATACATGGTCTTTCTCATAGATTTTCACAAGACTCATTTTTGCATGACCGATTATCATCAACTTGAAAACAGTTTACATGACTTTCTATTCACCATCATTATGCCAATACAATCCTTAATTAATACAAGTCTTCTTATCCATGATCATGTTTCCTGTTATAAAATGAACTCTAGCAAACTACACTTAAAGCGGAGTATTCAATAACATCACATGTAAGTCACAAACCTAATGCTGTTTTAAATAATTATATTATAAACATTTAATGACAATAATTATTAACATTTATTTCGTGTGTGAAATACTCAAATATTACTTCATGTTTCCATTGTCAATTTTATGTATATGAAACTTTAAAGTTACAAATATTTATCAGTTTTATATTTAAAAATTAATAAAACAAATATAGACTCCGATTGAGGTTGTAAAATTAACAGACTTTAAACTTTAATATCTGTACCAAACCACAAAGTCTAGAATTCGACGCTCCCAACCAAGAACTCGGTAATGTGCTATTATCGGGTTTATGCTGTTATGTCAATTTCGGCGCGTATGGACTTGAATACACCTTGACAATTTTTCTCAGATTTTTCCTAATAATAGTTACAAAGATATCATGACGCACATGTTTATTGTTGGGAATTAATACACAATAATATCTCGGCAAAAAACATGTTATACATCTGTACGAAAAAACAATTTATATTTTATTTTGGTAAGTTGCGATTACCGGGTTATTGCCGTAAATAATTTTCATGAAGATTTAGGTTGTACGTGTGTACGGGGTTTTTGTTGAATTCATTGTAAAATACGTATTCCGTAATACACACTAACAATGTTATTGAAGATTGGTATTGGCTCATTAATGTACGTAATATTTTATATTACGTACATTAATGAGCCAAAGTTATTGTGGTAATTTAAATAATATTTTAAATTACCACAATAACTCCGTAAAAACACGTTATGTATCAGCCCCACGATAAAAAAAAACCCCGTAGAAGTCCATAATATAATGTTATGAAATATTTCATTTGATAAATTTACTGCAATAATCCCGTAAGTACTATTACCATAATATTTTATGTATAAAATTTTAGGTATTATTTATTTTCCTAAATTACTAGGTATTTAATAAAAGGAATGTCATTTTAATGGCACAGGTATATTCCGCAAAAAAATAGCTTTCATTTAACACATCAATGACTTCAATAGTCCCACTCGTTGAAAAGGTATTTGATAAAATCAGTAAATCTTTTCTCCTGTAAAATTTTGATTTATCGATTACTGGGTTATTGTTTGGAAGCGTCGAGATATAAAAATTATTACTGCCAAACCAAAATCTCTAGTAACAAAAATTGAGTTTCATTTGAGTATTTCCGTAGTGCATAGTACTTGTTCATAACAATTATTCAACACGTATTAGCTCGACATCAAATATTAGGGTAGCGTTTGGTGGAATAATGCCTGGGTGCCCTCTAGACCCATAGGCATAGTCTGGGGAACAAACCAATTTAGCTCGCTCACCTACAGACATCTGGAATAGAATACAAATTTTTTTCTTAGTATAAATAGCCAATTTTTTCAGTATGTAGGTAAGGAATAAGAAAATATAGATTCGACTTGGTACATAGATTGAAGCTATTATGGTTTTTAACGAAGCCATATCCTTTGTATTCATTGACTGGCTCGGTAGCCAAACAACAATTGGGTATCAGACATAAAATACTTCGAATGTTCAATACAATAAAATGTTAAAAATAACACTTTGATTGATTAATTTTATGATCAACTGAATTTTAGTAATTTTCCAGCATTATTTAAAGAAATAAGTATGCTGTTGGACGCTAAAAAAATGTGATGTCACAATACACAATCTCATACAAAATTCATAGAAAATTATTGTTTTTAACATTTCGAAAAAAGTATTGAATTTGACTTGTTAGCAACTTGTATCCAATTGTTTGAGATTTACATGTAGCCAATTACTATATCTGTATTCGATTCATCTTTACTTTCTTATTGGCAAACTAAATACTTCAGCTAACTGTTTCATATGGCTACACACCCAATTGCAAAACTAGTATAAACTGACCCTTGAATGTGTGGAGAGATTATACAATGGGAGACTTTAATGAACTGGTTTGTTTAGTTGTTTGTGTGGCTGATTGTTCAGGCGTGTATAGTATAGAAATATGGAATTTAATACCACTAGTAAAAGAGATAATGTCAACAATGATACTTATTAAACTGTCAAACACCAAGCGGTCACCGGTGACCGCAACCTATTATTCTATAATTGTGTCTACAAAACCGGTACTCAACGAGTTAATATTATAAATGTGAATATATGTGAGTCTATGTGCATGTTTGTTATTCAATCATGTCAAAATGGCTGGAGGGATTGAATATTCAACAAAAATGTTGGAATTGATCTGTTCTATAGCTCCATACGAGATTGTGGTTGAATTACAAATAACCCTGTATAACCTGTTGAAAATTGTTGAAAATCATCCCCTAAATTTGTTCATACAAAAGTAGTCTCTAAACATTGGAAATAAGGTCTATAATGTAGTTAGTGGAGAGCGGTCACCGGTGACCACTTGGGGATATATGGGTTTGAAGATAATGGTGTGAAATAACACATAGGCTACTTCTTCTCATGGGGATGAGAGTGAAGTCACTGGCAAAAGTTAGTTCTGAATAAATATGGGTAGCAATGGTAATGAAAGACAAACATTTTATAACTGTTTTAGTATCAATAAACTGATATTTTGAATATAGTAAAGAAATAAATGCTAAAAGAATATTTTTAGGAGTAGTTATGTGTTAATCAGTTTTTTTTATACTGTTCTGATCAGAACCTTATTCTCCAATAGATAAGAAAGCGAAATTTTGAATTTTTCAAATTGTAATGAAATAAATACATATCATAATAAATATAAATTCAATCCATTTTGATAAGACTTGGTTTTTAGTTCTTGAAGATTAAATATACAGAATGACGTAAGTAAAAATACCGGTATTTGTTTTTACAAAAGATTAGGGTAGGACTTAGTATTCCAACAATAATTTCTTTGACTGCATGTACCTACTGCATGTGATATTATGAAGGTTGTGAATATTACAGAAAGTAATATTAATGCCTTTACTTACCCTGCAGATTCCTTGGTCCCATCCTAGAATAACATCGCCCCTTCCTAACGTAAACTTGAATGGCTGTCCTCTATCTCTCGACGAATCAAACTTTGTACCATTTTCTAGTGTTCCAGTGTAGTGCACCACCACAGTTTGACCAGGCTTAGGAAAAGTAACCCCTGAAAAATAATTTTAATTACAAAAATAAGTTTTTAGAGGTTATAGAATACGGTGGCAAAGATTTCTATCAAACACGAACCATCTCCAGCTGTAATGGTTTCTACATCTACCCCCATGTTAGTTTAGAAGAAATATGTTTACAGAAATAGATTTTCAGCAATATTTTGTCGTAAAATCAACTTCTGGAAACAATAACAATAGGTAGCACGGTAATAATAAACGTCAAAACTCGTCAATGCTTACAGGGTTTTTTTTTCCTTTTCCTCATTTTTAATTTTTATGATTTTGCTTTGGATACTGGGCTTTTTATATAATTAGAATGTTATTCACGATAATGAAATCGTCGAAAAGCACGACGTAACTTTATGGGACAGTTTTTTATGTCTTCTATTTTTCAACCTGTCTTTTATTTTTTTTTTTTTTATGACCTGACAAAATAAAAAATGGTTGTATTCTGATCCCATGTTCATCACACACACATATGTCCGAGAATATCAGTATTGTTTTTGTTCTTTTGCAAACTATATTATTTATGGTATCATTCGACCAATCATAACTGTCTAATTTATAAACATCCAAAATGTCTGTCGCCCCCATATTGACATAGAAAACAGTTGAAATTGAATTTTACGGTGAAAGTAGGAGTGTTTTAACTTTTTTATCATTTTATATTGATATTGAATTATTGGCAAGTGAATTGTTTGTTTGTAGTATAAATTCAGTTTTGAAGTCTCACTAAGACGCAAATTGTTTTTCTTTACTAAAAGCTGGTGTATTGTTTGTAATGGATATGGAAGTCGACGGGATTGAAAATTTAAGTAATCCATCTGAAGGTGGAAAGTTTTCTAATTTGAAGGCGTTTGTGACTGCTGCACGGGAATTCGAAGCGACACATAGTGAGTCCGCTGTGAATTTGATGACACGATATCTCGGAGTGAGTACAAGTGTTCACCTATTTCAACATCACACCGTACCTACATAATACATATAACTTGAAAACTTATAGATTCAATAGAAACCTCTCTCTAATAAGTCTTCTAAATATCTGCGTTTACCGTTAAGTAAAATTATACAACACAAGCTGTACTTTTCTCTTAGCAGAAATAGAATGAGCCAGTATCCAGTACAAGCCAGTAACATCCTTATAATCAACCAATGAGGTTGTATTTTATGATCCTCACAACATTCTTTTGTTTACAGCTAATAGCCTCATCATGCGACTTATCAATATTCTCTCCAGGGCGTTCAGAAGTGTGTGCATTCTTCAGTTCTCTATGGCGTGTGATGTGCGATGGTCGTGGTCCTCACTGGGCTGGAGTTGCTGTCCTGGCCAGAGCTGCCATAGAACCTAGTGCTAGACACGCACTTACACATACTTATAAGTAAGTTTTAATTTATATCATTGCATGTGGTTTGTTTTTGTTTTGAAATTGGAATTGGACATGTTTGAACTTGTCTAGGGTGTTTGTGTAGGAGCATATAGTGGTGTACACTACACACCATGGAGTTTTCTCTTCTTCTTCTCCATTTGTAATTAAACTGTCAAACACCAAGCGGTCACCGGTGACCGCAACATATTGTTCTATAATTGTGTCTACAAAACCGGTACTCGACGAGTTAAACTTTAGAACAAGCACTTAGCTTGACTGACAATTCAATTTTATTTTTACAAAAGTGTTTAATTAAGGATTCATATAATTCACATAGGAAACAAATTCTTTGACTTTAACTTTGAAATCACAAAAGTTATTAATTCGCAAGTAACATCAGTTCACAATGGTTCTGAGGGAATAGAAAATGCTATTATGTATTTTACATAGACTACATTTTATTGAAGATAAACACAAAAGTGTTCTTGTCAACAAAACATTTATACTTATGAGTTCTCGGAATCTATGTTTATAAATTTCAGTTTTGATTATTTCTACGTTCAAAATGCATTTTAATTCACTTTTCAGGTTTATGCCAATCTTAGCAAGATTATTATCTGACTCCATATCTAATGACAAGAAAGTTAAACTTTTAACAGTTATGCAAGTAAGTATTTCTTCAATAAATAATTAATAGCCTATAACTGGCCGCTGCTAACCAAAGGCCTCTTCTCAATTGGAGAAGGTTTGAGCATTAATCACCACCCTTGCTCAATGAGGGTCGGCGATTTCAAACTTATAATTAGAAATTATAATAAGACCAAGTTGCCTCACCAAGTGCTTGAGAAGCATGGGTATCTTAAGCCTGGGTATCCCTCTGGACCCCGATGACCATTTTATAATAGATAAAATGTTAAAAATCTATAAAATAATTAATTTACTTAAATTAACAAATATACGGATTAATTTCTTATTTTATTTTCACAGGAAATATCCTACGGTATCAAAATCAGTTGGCAAGAGTCCTATTTAAGCAGTTTAATGAAACAGCTAACGGAATTGATAACACAGCCAATGACGGAGCCACAACTTCGTACTATCGGTCACAAGTCTCTTACAGTATTGGTCAATGTGTGCTATGGGAATCTGCCTGCAATATATGCCTTAATGAGGACTGTTGATACTAAGGATTTTGTGGTACATCTTATTAGTTTGAAGGTAATATTATTATGCAATGTCAATTTTACTATTAATAATTAATGTCATGCTGTAATAGACACATTGGCTGTCTCTGGATTCCATGTAATTTTCTTGTTATATAACAATTTTGTATTAATTAATCCGGAGAGACATAGTTAATTCATTTGTTTTTTAGTGTATTATTATTTATTTTTCTCTCCTTCTTTTCATAGTTGATTGCGTTACACAATGCATAATGGAACATATTCGAGGTGTAAATATTCTGAACCTGTTTTATCCCATGGGAACAGTTATTTCGCCCGGAGAAAATGCCGTGCATACCTGGCCTCGCGGGGCCGAGGCCGGGTTATGTGGGGCTCGAACCCACTAAAAACCCCGGGGTGTGCCACTCACGCATGAGGGCGGGCCGCAAGAACTGTTCTTTCGCACTTCGTACGCGACGTCATTCCTATCACCTAATTCAACCCATACCCTGATACCAAATTTTAGTTGTTTCAGCATGATGGACGTACATTACGTACAAACATCCAAACAAAGATACTTTCACATTTATACATATATTTATATATTAGTGTGATATCATATTTAACAAAATTACTTACTCATAGTTTTCCACATCTAGTTCATTATAATCTTCTCAATTCCAGGAAGGTGGTTACGGCGGAGTAGAAGTATGTCGTTTGTTGCTGTGTCTGTCGGGCGCGACACGTGGCGCGGCGTCCACTCGCCAGCCCGACGTCCACAGCTACTTGTGTTGTACTATGCGGACTTTTAACAAAGCAGTCAGGTATGTTGATACTGATTATGACCTATGTTAAGGAAAGATCAGCTTGTCTATCTTATATGCTTAGCTGAGCAATGGCTAGCCTTCTCAGTGATAACTTGACACATAAGAACACAATCTGTGCTACAAATGTATTCAGTTTTAATATTCATGCGTGATAACCCAGATAGATCACCCAATTTTCACATTTACATTGGCCCAATGTAATAAAAGCAGTTACAATACTAGTTAGATTATGTAAATAGTGAAAAGTGGGTGTTACTTCTGTGTGCACCTCTGTCTACCCCTTCGGGGATAAAATACGTGATGTTATGTTAGATTATGTAATTACGAAAGGTCTCGAAATTAAAAACTTAACATTACCGTTATCGAGATTTTGTGCATGTTACATATTGACGATTATTATTCTACCAATAAGACAATCCATTGCGGGGGACAAGGGCTCATAGCGTGGAGAACCGACGGCTGCTGAGGCAGAAAAGTTCTCGAGTGGAGTCCACGTACCGACAAGCGCAGTGTAGGATGTCCACCCACATTATCGACCACTGATCAAGTTCGCATGGAGCCACTGGATGCCGGTTGCTTCTAACCGGCCTATCTGGAGGATCGTTGAAGTCGTAGGGGGAGGCCTGTGTTCAGCTGTGAACGTCCTATGGCTGATATGATGATGATGAATAAGACAGGCAGTAACTATAATGAACAATAAATGTATGTTTCAGTGAAGGCGACGCGACGCAACTCCTCCACGCGTACACGTTTGTCAATGACCTGTGTTCAGACAGCAACTTGAGGAGCTACGTGCTTTCCTACCCACACTTTGTTAGCGCGCTTGAAGAAGGACTAAAGGTAAAAACTATTATCGTAATTAGTATACTCACTTTTTGAAATACTTTTTTAAATTAAAGTGCCAAGTATTTACAGCTTTAATGTTGGTTTTTTGTAATTAATTTATTAGTGTTGTTTAGTTTATCATACATACATACATAACTTTACACCTGTCTCCCATGGGGGTAGGCAGAGACTAGGGAACGCCAATTACTACGATTCCTACATACCTCTTTCGCTTCATCAACAGTCATCAATCTTTTCATGCATGCTCGTCAGTTAAGGGTACTTTTAATTTGGCCCTTTTTTAATATAGCGCCAATCTGGTCACTATATCCGTGTAGGGCGCCCTCTACCGACGGCCCCATTCATATCCGCTCTGTATGCTTCTTTCGTTACTCTTCTTTCGTCCATCCTTTCTACATGTCCAAACCAGCGTAACATTGCCTTTTCAATCCTTGTCACTACATCATCTTTCAATCCACACCTTTCTCTAATAACACTATTTTTCACCCGATCACTCAATTTTAGTCCACACAAGTATGTGTAGAGTTCTGAGAAGTATCTCAGAGCTCTCATTTCCACGACATTAATCCTGCTTTCATGCTTCTTCTGCCACACCCATGATTCACTACCATACATAAGCGTTGGTGTCAATATACACTGCATTGCAGCAAGTCGAGCTTTGTTTATTTGTCAGTGGTGTCTAAATAATCTTAAAAAGTGCATACATATAACTCGAAAATCATTACATTGGTACTTACTGTTGGTACTGTCCTAACTAAACCTCCGGGCCACCACAGTTCTTAACAAAGAAACATTGGTGAGCAATAATTAACACTATCTGTATATTCCAGGATGTTCAAGAGCTATGCCTAGCAGCACCGGATGATATGGGCGAGCCAGAGAATACTGTCAACTGTCTCCGCAATGTGCTGAAATTTCTAACTGTTTTAGTTAGCTTAGGTATGTATTACACCATGATGGCAATTCACTATTTATCAATGAATAACATTTTCAGCTTGGGACTAATTTACTAGGCATCGACA